TTTTCCCCCCTGAGGAGGAACACTCTGATTTGAAAACTGCCATTGTCTTTGAAATTTGCTTCTTTAAAGTAGAACTGTGTTTTAGGAAAAAGCGCATGTGCTGGCTATAGTTTTCTGGGTTAACTTCTTATTTTCACTTAGAAAATTTCTTTTCAGCTGGAAAAATGTTTTAAATTATAGCCATTTAAAAAAAAAAAAAAAGATTGCTCCTAGCAAGCAAAAATACTGTGGAAAAGCTGTAATTTAGACAAGTACCTACATTTTATTTGCTCTGTGCTGCTGAAATTTAGAATCCCTTCCCATTTACAGTTTACTTTTCACAGAACATTATTAACTTTTTGGCTTCATACATGATCTTCTGTCAGATGCTTTTGATTTGTAATTTAGCAAAGTATAATAAACAGTGCAAAAGTCATGAATTTTCCTCCGCATCCTGAGCTCTGTGGTAGGGAAAATGTGATAAAATGTGTACCTTAAGTCTTGTTTGATGATCTCTCAAAGCAAGTTTGCCTTCTGGAAATAATTTCTGGGGTTGAAGAGCATGGTATTAACAGATTTAATGTGGCTATTCAATGGATTGGTGGAGTACTATGTGAGGTTTAACAAAATGAGAGAGACAAATTGAACATCAACAAAACCTACATCTGTGAAGAATTATAAATTTAATTAGAAAAAAGGCAAACTTAAAAGACCTCATTAACTAATCAGAATTTGATGTTACTGATTTAAGATTCTTAAATGGATGAATTTTAAGTAGCTTTGCTATCATTGTCCTTTTTTTCTCACCATGTACTATGTAGCGCCCAGATCTGCAATCTGTATTAAGAAGGATGTGAACATTACTTACAACAATCAAATTATACACCGTAATATTTTTGAGGTATTAAGGAGAATGTGTATGTCATTTAGCATATAAAGCATTTTTAGTTTAAAGGGGAGTGCAGTGTATGAAGGGTGAGTGACAGCTCCTTTTTTCTCTTTTTGATTTTTTTTTTTTTAATGTGCCCCTTTGGCTGGCCGGGTAAGGCTGTTGCTTTTTTTTTTTTTTTTTTTTTTTTTTTTTGTCACTTTTTATTTGATATGTGAGTTATGTTGCAGAACTTCAATTATCCAGAAATCTGTTGGCAAAATGGGAGAATGTATGAGAGCAAGCACACGCCACCCAGAAATGTTTTTATTCTATGAACTGGTAGTCATAAGTGTGGTTCCTTACTACGTTGTAATTTTGTACTACACATAAAAAACTGAAAGCATGTGAAGTGTAGCATTTTGTAAACTGTAACTAATTTCACTCACATCTGTGTCTAATTGTTGTCTGCATTCGCATTCTTGAGAGTAGATTTATTTTTCCTGGACCACTCTGTGGATTCAGCTGACCAGCCTAAGTGAGGATTAGTTGTTTTAAAGTTATTTTGATTAAAGAGTCATTTTTAAATATGGTAACGTGCAACACATGGTTTAAATAATCCTTGAGACACAAAGGAATATATCTAAAGTATGTCTAATGAAAATGAAGATTGTGGATATGAACTTTCACAAATCATAGAGTGTTAGAGGACATACAAGGTATATATTTAATTCACTCTGAATGAGCTGTATTATTATTTTTTTTTGCCCACTCCCATGAATCCGTAAATGAAATCTCTCTCACTATACACACACGTGCACATGTGTGTCTATATCTCTATATTTGTAAGTGTATAGAAGTTACTATTTTTTTTAATTTGGGTAAATGAAATAGTGAGGATTAAATGTATTTTAGAGTTTAGTGAAGTATGAATAATACTGTAGGGCACTTTGGACAATATCAGTTAATTAAAGCATTTCTTTATAAAAGGAAGGGGTTTTTTTCTGTTATAAAAGATATGTTTTAAAGGATCCTGTGCAAGAGGGAGTGAAGATAGCTCTGTAAGCAAACTTAGTTCTCACCTATAATTTTTTCCAGGTGTTTAGAAGTAACAGCAGAAACATATCCTAAGGCACTCTGCTGTAGTTTCTGGGGTAAAGAACTGAAAAAAAAATCTCTAAAACAAAATGCACAGTTCTGAAGGTATCTGCTCGTCTAGTTTGATTTGTCATGCGACAATGTATTGAAAAGCACGTTATACAGTACTTTTAAGTACCCAGTTATAAAAAGATTGATGTTTTTCAGCATGCATTATTGCATGCTTCTTGACATCATTTGTAATGTTCTGCATTGCCTGGCTGCCCCTAGCAGTTGTTTACTCTTGCTAGTAGTAATTCTGTCTGTGATTAAAAATAACAAAAAAAACCAACCCAACCCTACAGACACATAAGTAGGATTTGCTTGGATGATTTTTATGGCACTTAAAATGCCTCATCTCTCTTGTCTTTGCTCTGTGATCATTTAAGAGATGTCAGTTCAGGTTGAATGGAAACGCACATGAAGGATTCTCAATGCAGACATTAAGAGGATATATACCTTGCCTGGAGAAGCTTTTTGTGCTTTTAAGCTAACAGTGTCTAGCAGTGTATCTTCACCTGAATTTTATCACCTGCTGACAATCATTACTGGCTACGGAGAAGAGGCTGTTAGCAAAGCAACGGTGTTTTTCTAATAGGATATGAAAATCTATTACTCACCTGAGTTATAAAAGGAGTCGTTTTATTAAACTGGAAAATTATTGCTGGGCTTCCCAGTGGAACCAGATTCCTTTTCTTGATGAGTGACCTCAGAGGTAATGCTACAGCTTCCTCCTATTTATTTAGCCAGACGTGTTCTTTTAAGTCACTTTATCAGAAGTCTCATTAGCGATGGGAATTTTTACGAGTAAGACTTTGTGCAATAACATGTGGGGGTTTTTAGTTTCATTCGCCCCGGTTGGAGATGGGCTCGTTTTGGAGGTGGTGGTGTAATACTGTTGGTCATATACTGAAGATCTTTACCCTAGGTAGACCTGCCCCTTGCTGTCCCTCCCCCAAAAATAGCGTCAGCCTCTCCGGCTTGCTTCGCCCCTCGCCTTTGGGGGTGAGCTGACTTGTGGGTTCCCTGTCGCCCAGGCGCCGAGCAAGGATGGCGAAGAGCGGAGAAAGAGGAAAGCCAACGTGATGAGGGCAAGAAGCTGTCAAGGGCTAAGGGGATGGGAGGGAGAGACAGATAACTCGGCCGGCGATAACAAGAGGCGAGAGGGGTGGGTGGAGGGTGCTGGGGGTCTCGGGGCTGGAGCGGCTCCCGCTGCCCTTGGCGGGCGGCGCGGCGGGGTTACCTTGGCGGAGCCGTGCCGTGCCGTGCCGTGCCGTGGGAGGAGTGAGCCCCTCTGCAGCTGTCACGGGCCCCTGATGAATCACTATCCCGTCACTTGGCCGCCGTCCCCCGGCGCGGGGAGGAGGGAGAGAGACCTGCCGGGGAAACAACAGTTGAGCCTTCAATTTAAAGACAATATGCCTTTCACGGGCACCGCGCCCTCCTCCTCTCCTTTTGGGTTTAAAGGACAGAATTGTCATCCGCGGTGATAGCCTTTCTTTCAATTAAGGCCTCGCAGTAAAGCGGAGTAATAGAGGCTTCTGTTTGTTTCCCTGGTTTACAGGTGCAGAAGTCCCAAACCAGTTCAGATGTTGCTGTTTCCTCAAGCTGCAGGTAAGGATTTGGTTGAAAGTCGCTATTTTTCTGCAAGCCTTTTATTCTTTTTTTTAAGTTCAGGTGATAGGTAAATATTTATTCTTGTTTTCCGTATTAAGCAGTTGAGTAAGTGGTGGAGCATCGCTTTTACGTGCATGCAACCAAGCCTGTAAACCATGAGCACGTACCCTTTTTCGCTAAATTGTTTGACTTTATTAGATACTGGCTTTTCAAACTCATTGCAATATCATCCCTCTTTATGTGTAGATTGGTTTAGGTAATGAAATGTAAAATGAAGGATTTATGTTTAGAACTTGTGATAAAATCTCAGCTAAAATGTGAAAACTTCATAGCTGAAGTGACACTTAGGCTTAAGGATATTTATACCATTACCATGGGAAGAATTTTTAATGTAATTTTAATAGTCTTTAAAAGAGCCTAAGCATTTCTGTTAAACCGAAAAATTACTGGTTCAGATGCCTTGGAGGCACAGTAACCTGTGAAATTTCTACTGGGAGCAATTACTTAGACTGAGTACATCAAATAACATTATCAACAGTTTTAGGTGTAAAGAAACGGAAGGATGGGGCACTTCAGTCATAAGCTTCCCCAACGTCAGCCAAGGGATATGTCATTGTGGTGATGGCCCTTTTATTTAAGGCCATTAAAAACACAAATCGGAAATACTCAGCTGCTTGTGTGCTGTATAAACGTTTAATTTTTGCTTTGAATCAGAATTGCTCTCTTCTTATTTTGACTAAACGACAGCTGCTGAGATACAGCAGAGTGCTAAGGCACACTAACGCCTATATGGATTCACTGTATGTTGGTCATATCCCTTTTCAGTTGGGCACGCTTTATGTAATCCACAAAGCAAACAAGTGAGCAGACATAATAATGTTTTAATGCTGCATTTGTTTCAACGGAAACAGAGGAACAATTAAGTAGTTTGCCAGAGTAAACACATACATCAGGAATATCTCATTCCCTGTCAGTAGATGATAGGTTTCCACAATTGCTTCAAGTGTTTTATTTGGTTTGGAGGCCCATTATATTGCCACTGAGTGGTAAATCTTGAAAAAGCAGAGTGCTAATTTGTTGTTAAGAGCATATATGTCTTCATATATTGGTGAATCTGTCTTTGTATGTATCTTAAAAATACAAGGTGACGTGAATGTTTAAAGTACAGTACTTTGTATCTAAATTTTATTCTGTTAGAAGCTGCAAAAATAGTTATGGTAGCTGCTCAGTCATGTGTGTGGGGCTGCAAAATGAGATTGGCACTAGACAAGATCAAGTTGGGAGAAGCTGAGTGTCTTTGGGATGTTGATTAATAGCGGGCTGCATCTCATAGAGGTAATTCCTCTGTAATCCATGTTGAATATGTCACTAAAAGTAGTTGCATCTTGTTTTCAGGTCTATGGAAATGCAGGATCTAGCCAGCCCACATAGCCGACTAAGTGGTAGTAGTGAATCCCCCAGTGGTCCAAAACTCGATAACTCCCATATAAATAATAATTCCATGACACCCAATGGCACAGAAGGTGAGCCACCTTTTCTTTTAGTGTTTCATAGTTTGTTTTTTCTCCTTGTTGCATTGCTGTTCTTGCAGTCAGGAAGCTATACAGAGAAAATGGTTTACTATTTTAGGTGTTCCGTGTTTATGTAATATGGTGTGGAGAGCCGATGTTCAATGTTTATCGGTAGTTACTATTATCAAGTTTCAGCAATAGCTTTCACTCCAGATTTATGTTCCTTCTATGAAGTTTGAATGGACTGAGCAGGCAGTATCTGCAGAGCTTAAAAAAAAAATCCCCCAAACCTGAAAGGGTAGTTTAGCGATGAGAAAAAAGAATGAGGTGTTTACAGTTGTTGTACTACAAAACGCAATCTTTCAGTCTTTTTCACTATTTCGATTATTTCTTTATGTTCTCACTTTTTGCAAGCTCCTAAGGCTATGAAAGTTTTGTCAAGTAGGCTAATAAAACAGAGTGTTGAAATTTCCTCAGGCTAGCTTGCTGCTCTGATGGAGTGGCCAAAATTCAAACAGGTGTAGTAATTCAATGGGGTAAACTGATACCTATTTTTCAAGAAGCAGTCAGGCAGTTGATAAGTTATGTTTGTTCTCGGTAGAATACTAACAGCAGAACAACCTAACAGCTTTGCCAGTAATAGAATACATATATAATACATACAATAATAGATACAATGAAACACAGAAGGGTTTATAGAATAAGCAGCAAAAAATACTCTTTCCTGTAACATTTCTATGGCAATAGTAGGAAAGATCATACACAACATTTGGCTTGCTATGTGAACAGAGATTTTAATGCATTACCAGAAAAGAGAGTCACGCAGCTTCAATATTACTGTTCAGTATAAACGTATAGTTAAACAACTGTTGTAGCAAAGATATGCCTTTTTTTCTAAAGAACTGGGTCATATTAGTGCTGTCAGACTGTTTAGGATTATGGACATGCATTGCATTCTTCCAGGAAAGGCACATGTCAATCAAACAGATGTCGTTCCCCCCTCGATTCCCCAAACATCTCTGTTATTCATTCTAATTGGAGTCCTCTGTAGTGGGGAGGGTTTATGGGTTATCAGATTAACAGGCATTTGTGCCAGAGTTGTGTATAATTTACTTTTGCTATTGCTGTAAAAGTATGGCTGCAATCAAATTTTAAGCCATTTGGAAAAAAAAGAAAAAGTAGCTTTTTAAAGAAAAAATAAAGTGCTTAATGTGTTAATGTAGTTTAAGCAGAAAAATATTTCATGTCCACAGATGAGTCCTCTTCATTTTAAATGCCCCAGTATATTACTGCATTTTTATATCATATTACCAGGTATATACCAGTTTTGGTACAGGATAAAACTGCTCGACCCTTTCAAATAGCTCATGAAAGCCTTTGCTGTAAACTTCATCAGCTCTTGTACCTTCTGTGTAACTTGGAAGGTTCTTTAGTAGCACAAAAATAGGGAGTGTTCCTTGAAACACTGAAAGACACTTACCGTCTGGCTCGACTTTTTGTTCTAAGTAGTTGCTGTGTGCAGGCATACACTCTGAAAAACGGGGTGCTTAATATTACTTTGTTGGGAAATGAGCTATATATTGTATCTATTCATGCACTGACCTCAGGTAGCAAATAATTTTGGCAATAATAGCCCAACTTCTTAGGTAGGTATCAGAGTTTACTGAAGAAAGTAAATTAAACCACAGTAACTTATTTATCTGACACTAGAATTCTGAAGTTCAGGCTTATTAATTTGGGGTGAATTCTACCCAGAAAGCTATAACTTGCAGTACATGTTTACCTTCTGAGACGAAGCCAAACGGTTTTCTTTTGTTTGCAATTTTCCCTCAGGTGACATGACCCTCCTCAGCACTGCAGACTGGTTGCTAAGCCCTAGCGCACAGACCCCCGCAGGTTTGGGTGGCTGCGGTGGGCGCAGCAGGCGTGGGCACTCAGCATGCGTTTTTAGAAGTTGTCCAGAAAGCGTCCCGAGAAATAGCTTGTGCTTGGCAATTCTGGTCTAAATTTTCTAAATTGAAAATTCCTGTCTCTGATTGCTCTTAAGTGACAAATAAGGAAAAGCTTGTGAAAGAAACATAATTGAATAATTTATTTCTGAATCAGATGTGTGCCGAGAGACCAAATTTGTGAGTGAAGCAGATGCCTAAGAGTCGGAAGGTGGAATTTTTACTGTTAATCTGTTTTATCTTGAGAAAATGTTTGGTTTGGGTTCCTTGAGCTGCTAAACAGGCTTAAGAAAAAATTGAGTGAATGAAGCAAGGGTTTCTTATTCTTTTTTAATGAAGGGTGAAGTAAAATTATTTTTTCTGAGATTCTTGAAGCAGAATCCTGCTGAGACACAAGTGGCAGATTGTAAGGATGCAGTCATAAGGGCTTGCCAAACACCTTTCTTAAAATGCTGCGGTGTGGTTTGCTTGTTGCATGTGGAGTGGAGGTGTGGGTTGCTGAACCTTCACATGTTAAATATAATACTTGAAACCAGCTTCTAATCTACTATGCACCCATTCTCACTAACATGAAAGAGCCCTCCTTTTCTGGCATAAGGGGCCTTCATGAGAACGAGAAAAAGGGCCTCTAGGTATTTGCATGTTATAAATATCTTGTAAAGATATGTTAAATTTGATTTGACTATGGCTGTGATTTCGGCAGGTTTCCATACCCTGAAGTGCAGGATATGTTCACTAGATGAGGGGGAGGAAAAAAAAAAGAAGAAGAAGAAAAAAAAACCACGTCCCAAAGTGAAATGGCTCTGTTTCAAACAAATGTTTGTTAATTCCTCTAAGGCGCATTTTCAGACATGTCTCTTACTGATGTTGTTCTACAAGAGGATGCGGTTGAAAGATAGCTCACTGTTACTAGCTAATATTTTTAGCTTCACACTTAGTGGTAAATTTTCAAAGCACTGAATGGGTATTTAGTTGTGTGATTGAGTCTGAGTTTAATCTCTGCATGCAGCTTTGATATAATAACTCTTCGTGCGCTTAATTTCACTTTGGTGGAGCAAAATTACTGTAGCGCAGAACTGACCAGGTAATGCTGGTGAGGACTGCAGCTGAAGAAATACAGGGAGTTTTGGGTGACTGCTATTTATTTCCTTCTAGCTAAACAATTTTAAACGAGTCAGATTTACTACTTTGTGTCTCAGATAGCAATTCCTCTACGGGATTCTTTTAGAGCATCGTGATTTCTGTAGAACAAACACTATCCTTTTAAGTTTGCAGCAGATCATAAGACAGTCTTCATAGCTCTGGATGTATATGTGGTGAGAGGAAAAGTAGCATTTCCTTAACACCTTGATTAAAAAAAAATCATAGCTAATAAGAATTAATTACTTTGCTGGTGTTTGGGTTTTTTCTTCCTCTTCTCTGGGCCAGGCAGTATGGTCTTCAAACCAGTGATGGGGAAGTAACAAGGAAATTATAGACTGTGACCAGCCAGAAATTTCCCAGGATCAAATGCAGAGGGGTAACACTAAAATGTCTGGCTAAAGGCACTCAGAAAAATCAGTCCTGGCACTCCAAGGTGGTGCTGATGATATAAATACTACAGCATTTGAGTTTTCCATGTTCTCTTTAAGTGTTTTTCCACAAAATACCCTCTGTTGTAGGGAACAGCAGACACTGGACGCCATTAAAAATTTGGCCCTGTATAAGGTGCCTAAGAAAATCTGTTAAAAAAACCAACCATAATTGCAGTAGGGATCAAAATGTTCATAGTCGTGCTTTATCTCTAATCTTCTTTTGTCAGCGAATTGCTGTGGTGGGTTGATACTGAAGGAGTTAAAGAAACAATAACAACAGAAGCTAATAAAATTGCCATTCATTAAGTTTTATCAGACAGCTAGTGGCTATTCCAACGACAGTGCCCGCATTGGTAGATATACTTTAGAGGGGAAAGGCTGCAAGTAATCAATAAATTTGAAAGGAGTAGCAGAGCTGTTTTCCATAGCAGACAACTGCATCTAGTTTCTGCCTACAGGGATCTGTACTTTTATCTAAAGAATGTATATCAGTTCTGACAAATGACACAGAGTGAGAAACAGAAGCCTGTGGCCGATCATGATGATGTTTAATGCAACTGGAATGGAAAAGTGTAGATGAAGATTAGGAGAAGGAGCTGTGGTTTTCCAAGCAACTACACTTCATTCACTTTCAGAGCATGGTGCTGCTTCTGCCCTCATTTTTGAGTGTTCAGAAGGAAGAAAAGGCATTTTCATATCAAGCGGGAAGGGAAGATGGATAACAAATTGAAGATCAGATTTTCAAAGACGCATAGGAAGGGAGGCTTCAAAGAGAGTTGGACGTCAAAATTCCTTTGGAAAAAAACGGTTCTCGCTCTTTAAGTACCTGCTGCAACATGAGAATGAGATCCCACACAAAGGCAGTCAAAGCTCCCCACTACGTGACTATCTGATGGGTAGCCATTAAAAAGGTTGTTTTAAGTCTGGTGAACGTAAATCCACCTTCACGGTTTCAAAAGGCAGCGCTGTGTATTATGTTTGCTGTTGATTTGCAATATTACAGAATGGAGAAAAAAAATGTTTTCAGTATTTTCTGAAGTAATTGTGGAGTAAGATGTTGAAATCCATAGAGAGGGTATGAGCTGGTTGTTGTTATGGCACATGATGTAGATTTCTGTAAGTAAATTATACGTTGAGTATTCGTTGGAATTCTAACAGTACTTTGTAGCACTCAAAATAGTCTTTCAGTATTGCAATCAAGCCTGCACATTGGCAGTGAATGATTTTATTGACAGTAAATAATTTTGTGTAAGTTATTTATAATTTTTAATAGTTATTCAGAATTTTGTGTACTTTGGGATGCAAAGTTGTGGTAGGCGATGGCAATCAGACAAAATGGTCTTCCTTTGGGAGATGCTTGGGTTCTGGTACCTTTTAATTGCTCATTTCTGGAGTTTCTGCCAATTATGTATGCTGAAGTTTCTAGACTTGTGTTTGTGATGCAGAGCTAATGATATGAAACTTGGAATTGATGCAGGGATAACTCCAT